GAGAGAATCTTAAAAGCAGCAAGAGAACAGCAGATAGTTACCTACAAAGGAGTCCCCATAAGACTGTCAGTTGATTTCTCAAAAGAAACTTTACAGGCTACAAGGGACTGGAAAGAAGTATTCAATGATGATAAGCAAGGATGTACAACCTAGATTACTCTATCCAGCAAAGCTATCATTTAGAATTGAAGTACAGATAAAATGCTTCCCAGACAAGGTAAAGCTAAATGAGTTCATCATCACCAAGCCATTTTTGTAGGGAATATTAAAGGGATTATTTAAGAAAAAGATAAAAACTATATAAATATACATATGTATGTATGTATGTTAAATGTACACACATTCAAACTTAAATCTATATCCATCTAGAGGAAACAATATACTGTGAAAACAATTTTATTAGGCTTTAATAAAATTAAAAATTAATACTATTTGTTATGTGCTTTTGGAAAAGCCTTAGTAGTATTGCTTTAGCAGCAATATTGCGAACTCATAGATTATAAGTATTTACTTTCTTAGTGATGTAAAAGAAAGCAATATCTTTTCTTATAGGCTGGCATGTATGAAGCAGTTAATGAGGTGTACAAAGTACTTATTCCTATTCATGAAGCTAATCGGGATGCAAAGAAATTATCCACAATTCATGGTAAACTTCAAGAAGCATTCAGCAAAATTGTTCATCAGGTAATGATTGCAATTTCTAGCTTCAGTATAAATGGATAAAACTGTCTAAAAGCATTAGTGTTGCATTGTACTGGTGTCAAACTAGATCCTATGGAATGACCATTTTAATCAGTTTACAAATGAACAGTGTCAAAATGATGGCTTAGGACCAAAGCAAGGTTCATTAACAGAAAAATGAATTTACATAAAGTAGATAAAAATCATCATAAACTTCCCACATAGCTTTTCTTTTTTTCTACTTTTTTGAATTCCTAGTAGTTGCCAATTTTTTTTAAATTGTGAGTTATTTTCTGTTTCACACTGTGAGTTATAATTATGAATATGATTTTTAAGTTGATTTCTATTCCTTTGCTGCCAAAAAAGTTTTTATATTTAAGTTTATCTTTATTAAATGATATTAAAGTTTAATAAACGCCTAATATTTTGTGATTACAGCTGAGCTGTTTTTCTTAGATGTTTTCATTCAATCATCCTTTGATATATTTCTAATATGAATATAATGAATAAAATGTTTGTCTTGTGTTTATTTAATTATAATAGTATGATTTCAGTACTTGTTTATGGAATCCTCACATTACCACAAAAATTAAAATAAAAATAAACTTGGTTTAAAAACGAATTAGACTATTAACAGTCGATGTCCCTGAAACTAAATCCTTGGCTCCATTTAAATAGTCTGAAGTACCCTGTTGAGCCTTCTCCTCCTCCATGTTACTGCTCCTTTGCTGTGCTGCCTGTGCTGTTAGCTGCTACTAGATCATCTAAGAGGAAGTGGGATACTGAATATCTGCTTTTGTGTTCAGTACTGGTCCTACTTTGTTGTCAGCCTGACCTCCTCTTGCTTGCCATGGACTAGGCTATTCTAGATGAATTGATACATTCTAAAAACCTTTTAAGTCTTAAAAATAGAGCTGCTGTACTGTTATGCCAGGATTTTATTGTCATCTATTAAAAGTATTGAAATTCCAAAAGATTTACTAGGATCCATAATCATAACAGGTGGGTCTTTTTTTATAATCAATTATGCGCAGACTGTCAAAGCTTCTAGAGCTATAAAGTGCAAATTATACAGGTCAGGTCTGGAGCATCTAGAGCGAGTAGATTCCAAGAAATCTTCATGTATTTGTACCACAGTATTTGAGCAAAATTGCAATTTCTGTTCCAAAACTTACCCTGGCTAATTCAGTGAAGTATAGCTGAGTTTAGTTAGAGCTTTAATTTAAATGCAAATATGGAACAAGCAATTAGCTTTCTTTCCCCAAAAATGTGTACGTTCACTTTGAAAGTTTTTAAAAGGTGAAATTTAGTTGTTAGGTTTTGAAAAACAATTTATAAAATTGTCAGAGCTCTTAAAAGTGGGAGAATATGGTCTTTAAAAATATCCTAGTGTTTTCTATTTATGGAGAAGAATTTATCGTATATGGTATCTTTACACTACTGAACTTCCTTTGGCCTTTTTTTTGTTCTTTTTAAACAGTTTTTTTTTATGACCTGCCCTTTTTTACTTTTTATTAATACAGAGTACTGGCTGGGAGGTAGGTAATGTTTTAGTTAGTTAAAGACACTAATAGATTGACTTGATCAGATTTCTCATGCCAATGCTTTGCCCACATGTGCTAGCTGTGGGCATTCTGTTGCTATCTGCTATCAACTGAATTCATTAACCAAAGAAATTTTGTTAAAGTACTGTACTTTTAAAAAATTTATTATTAAGAAGTGTAGGTAGTGCATGGAAATCCATGTTACACTAATGAGATTCTTTGGTAAATGAGCCACTTGTCATCACGTTAGTTTGTTTTTATCCTTTGAAGCATTTTCTTTCATCAACATTTACACACAGATTTCTTTTTTTTTAACCGTATTGTTTCACCTCATTTTACAGAGGTCGATTTATACGTTATTGCTCAGAGGTGTAAATAAAAAATATTGTATTTCATCTGCTCTAAGATGCTATCAATTATAAGACATTCCTTTATTTTGTATGCATTTAGTAAAAAAAAAAACAAACCCAGAAACCTCTGTATTAAACTACAACATGCTGTCAGTTGAAAAGTGAATGCCAACTACAGAGGTATTAAAATGTGGGCCAAAAAAATGTGCACCTTAGAATTGATGAAAGAGTCACTTCATTTTAAGCACTGCTGAGGAGAGATTCACTTCTGTCATTGAAATTTTGTTGGGGGGAGGGATGAAGAGATTGAGAGAACTTAAAATTTAATTTGACCTCATATTCTGACTGTGTTTGATAATAATATTTAATAAAAACCGTGTGCTTTCTTTTATGTTGTGAGTAGGCTCATGAAAAATTATATATAAATCAAATAGCACCTGAAAAATGCCAGGAGGAAATTGATTGCCATTGTTTTAATTTTTTTCTGTAAAGGAAAGAATTCTATAAAATGGGTTTTAATTTATTTTGATGAGGTAAAGCAAGGTATTAATAAATTAGATTTATATGAAGCTAGGTATACTTGTAAAGTTGTCTGCTTTGCCTCTCACCTAGAAGTCAAGTCTATGTTGACTGAACAGCTTAGGCTTCTCTGTTTGGTTTTGTATCCTTGTTTTGGGACCCAAATAGAAAACCTTAGGAATAAATGTTACTACTGCATTTTCTTCCATTTCTGAATTGGTTCCCGCCTTTTGCTTTTGTACTTTTACATCTACCTTAATTCTCCAGATTAAATGTGTTTGACCTTATTAATACCTACTGTGGAATCCCTCATTTCTGGGTCTAATTAAGACATATATAATGAGGCTTGCCATGGTTATCTGTGAGTGATAAGGTTCCATATGGATTTCCTGTCATGAAATGGAATTAGTTGAAAAGTACGCAGAAAAGAAGATATATGGAAACCTCTGAGCAGTTTATTCATAGTCTGCTTGATGCTAAATCGACCCCTGAAAGGTACAATTCTCACTGGTTATGACATTAATATCATTCTGTCATCGTGTTTACTGCATGGTAAAAGTCACACAGACTTTATTTTCTCGTTTATACCTTGTCACTACCTATCACTGGACCTTTAGCTTTGTAGCTTCTAAGATTGTTGCACGCTTGTTTTTTGCTTTTTTCCTTGTAAAACTTAAATGGATGCTTGCATTTTAAAAATGTGTTTTGCTACCATTTGCTGCTTATTTGTTTTGAAATTTCCCTAATTAAAATGCTTTCTGTTTTCTCTTCTCTCTTGCCCCTGGTTGCTGACCCTACTCCCTACTTTTACTATTGTCTATTGTGGTAAGTTTCTATCTTGTGAATATTTTTCTTTTTAACTTGGAAAACTTCAGTAATTTCATTTTTTCTATAAAAACTATGTTTCCTAGCTAATTTCCTAGTAGTTTCAAAGAACTCTTGCTGGGTTTAAATTCAGTAAAAATAATTGATTCATTGTAGAATGACTCTTTGATTTATAGGAAAAGCCTTCTGGGTTTATATATTAGCAATGTGTTTCATTTTTGATTATGCTCCTTGATCTGGTACAAATTGTTTCAGTTGGCAAAGCTTTTTGAGAATATGCATGTGGGTTTGTGTGTACTTTATGTAAAAGGTAACTCTAAAACTTGACACTTAGCAATTTATAAAGTATTTACCATGCAAAATAGCAAATCACGAACCCTTCATGAATCATGGTGGCTGCTAATCTGCTATGACTGTTTCAGTGCCTTGATGGCTGATTACTGTTCATTTTTATTTGTTTCTTTTCCCTCATCTGTTTTTTATATATTTTATTGATTATGCTATTACAGTTGTCCCATTTTCTTCTCCCCTGTATTCCTCTCCGCCCTGTACCCCCCCACCTTAGTTCATGTCCATGGGTCATACATACAAGTTCTTTGGCTTTTCCATTTCTCATATTATTCTTAACCTCCCCCTGTCTATTTTGTACCTGCCATTTATGTGTCTTATTCCCTGTACCTCTACCCCCATTTCCCCTGCTTCCCCTCCCTGCTGGTAACCCTCCATGTGATCTCCATTTCTGTGAATCTGTTCCTGTTCTAGTTGTTTGCTTAGTTCATTTTTGGTTTTCGTTCTTGTTTTTTAGGTTTGATTGGTTTTTTTTTTTGTTTTTTTTAAATATTTTATTTATTTATTTTTTGAGAGAAGGGAAGGGAAGGAGAGAGGGAGAGAAATATTAATGTATGGTTGCCTCTTATGTGTCCCCTGCTGGGAACTGGCCTGCAACCCAGGCATGTGCCCTGACTGGGAATCGAACCGTGATACTCTGGTTCACAGGCCCGCGCTCAATCCACTGAGCTATGCCAGCCAGGGCTTAGGTTTGATTGTTGATAGTTGTGAGTTTGTTGTCATTTTACTCTTCAAAAATATGGAGCACTTCACGAATTTGCGTGTCATCCTCATGTGGTGGCCATGCTAATCTTCTCTGTATTGTTCCAGTTTTAGTCTACGTGCTGCCAAAATGAGCACTTCCTAATCTATTTTTTAAAATAACAGAAAATAAAATGTGCTTCAATCATTTCTCATGATTGCATTTTAAATAATTTTTATTTTATTTTTAAATAATTTTTCTTTTTTTAAAGGTTTTGTTTATTTTTTTGTTTTAGGGTGGGTTAGGGAGGAAGAAAGAGAGGGAGAGAAACATCAGCGTGTGGTTGCCCCTCATGTGCCCCCAAGCAGGGACCTGGCCACCACCCAGGCATGTGCCCTGACTGGGAATTGAACCAGCGACCCTTTGTTTCCCAGGCTGGTGCTCAGTCCACTGAGCCACGCCAGCTAGGGCTATATGGAAATTTTTATAACCTCACATTTTGTGTATTTGATTTTTAAAAGCTAAATTTATCTGTTTACCAAATAGTGATCAATTTGTATTCAGAAGTAGACTATTTGTATTTATAGTAGAGGACAGTGTTATAAGGTAGAGGAAGACAAAACATGGGAGAGAAATACCAAGTAATTACTTAAGGAAATTCTCACAAATCCTCAAGGAGAATGTCAGAGAAGTGTAAGATGGTAATATATACTTTGTCCTGGTATTTGTGTACCAGTACAGAGTATGTGGATTATGGAGCCTTAACAAGAACCTGGGCTAAGGTGTCAAATATATTGGGATTTAGCTCCCAGCTCCACCACAGTATGGTCTCCCAAGTGTGAACCTGGACAAATTACTCTTCCTTCTCCTAAAATAAAGTGGGAAATAATGGTACCCAGCTCAATGTTGTGATTAAAAACTGACACAGTACACATAAAGTAGGTAGCCAGTATCTAGCATAGGCTAAGTTCTCAAAAATGTTGGAGATTATTATTTTTCTTGTTATTACATTTATTATTATATCATTATTTTTACTGTTACTTGAAATCCTAACATAATTAGGTTAATAAAATCTAAGAGGTTCCCAAGTTGAGATCTGTGGCTGCATAAACTGGTAAAAGTGAATGTGTTCTTTAAGATGAATATATCTAATAGAAGGGAAGGGAATTACCACTGTGTGAAATACTGGTGTGCCTATATGGAAATCAGTTAACTTGACGGAAGCATAGTGGAAAACAATTGGGTGAGGATAAAAGCAGTTATAGAAGTAATGTCACCATGGAAAAATATAACCAGCTCAACAGAATGTTTCTTATGAAATATGGCTTTAAGAAACTAGAATAGCTTTAAGATATATTTGTCATAAGGGATTTCAGCCACTAGAGACATGGATAGATGAATAGGTAGATTTCCTTGTCTGGGACATAGTTTCATTGCCCATAAGACTAGAATCAGTAAGTCAAACTGCTAATAAAGAATACATTGATGTGCGGAAATGATGGAAAGTTTAAAAAGAGTTTGTAACAGTAAAGGAAAATAATGTTAGAAAAACATAAGCTAGATTATAGGAAAGTGGATTTTTTTTTTTAATTCAAAGGAAAAACAGATATCCTGTAGTCCAAAACTCTGAAAAGGAAATTAAGATGAAGTGATGTTTTTCCTGAAGATAAAGCTGTGTATTATACTTTCATGAACCTTCTAGGGTCAGTGGTTTGACACTAGAGACTTAAATTGACAATACATTTACTAAGACTGTTTATTTCTTTGCTGCTTCCTCCCCAATGTTAGTATACACACATGCATTTTCTTTCTTTCCTTTTTTGTTTTTTTGTTTTCAATTCCGGGAACTCCATATAGTTTACCTCTATGATCTGCTTCACTCACACAGTCCACCTTCCTGTTCCCCAAACACATCAGGTAGGCTTCGGCCCTCGGCTCTTTGCACCAGCTCTGTCCTCTGCCAGGAATCCACTTCCCCTGGAGATAGATCCACATGAGTAACTCTCACCTCCTTCATGCTGAGACCAACCTTGACCACTCTGTTTGCTCTTTTGTTCATTGATTCATCACAAATGTCTACGGCAGTTTGCTGACATATAGTAGGCACTGAAATGTGTGAGTGGGTGGCTTGCCTTTCATACGTTCTGTTTCATGACTTTGCATTTTTCTTTCTGTTCCTTCTTTCTCTGCTACAGTGTCCTTTTCTTTCCTCCCACATCCACTCTTCAGTCTGTGAGTTGTAGAACCCTGTCTGTGTGTCACCTCCTTTGTGACCCGGCTCCAATATTAATGTTTCTCGGGACAACTTTTAACTCCAGGATTAATGTTTCTCGGTACAACTTTTTGATTATAGCACATAACCCTTTATTTGTAATTATTTGAATACATTTTTTTTTACTCTCTTGAGGAGGCAAATCTTATTTTTATATTCCTTTTACTGATGAATTGTGGCTAACATATCATAAGCACTCAGTGTCTTTCCTCAAACTGAGTGTTCATGCAGAAAGTAAACGGGTGCTCAGTAGTTCAATTTTAAGGTGCATTAATAAAACTCGAGCCCAGGTCCAGGGAGGCAGTGACCCTCAATGATCAGATCAGATCATATAGTAATGTGTCTCTTTCTAAGATACTGCACTTTAAAAGGTGGTACTGAAAAACAAAAAAATGCAAACAGGATAGCAATTACTCTCCTATGAAGATGATTGAGAACTGGGAAGTTTAGATAAAGGAAATAAGTTGGGATAGCTATCTTTAAATATTTACAAGGCTACAATATTGAAGATTTGAAATAGTGTTTTAAATTGGAAACCTCTGGAAGGAGTGCAGATATTTTAATATTTATGGAAATATTTATATGATTTTTTAAAAATAATCACAAATTATTAGTTTTCTCAAATATCTTATTTTCCATGTAGTCTTTCTTTGTTCCTTGATTATTTCAAGATTTGTTATTATTTTACTGTTCCATTGGTGTTTTGATGCTTTTCATCATAATTTTGGTTGGCTACATTTGATCTATCTAGAAAGATTTCTTTGCTATAGAGATCAGTTAATTTTTACGTCTGTTAAATTTTGAAATAAAATCACTTGAGAAAAACTTTAAATTATAAACCTCAAGTTTCTTTAACTCCAAAGACTTAAGAAAAACTAATTCTTCTAGACAAAAATGTGGGGTATTTTTAGTCACTGTATTCTTTTTTTGTTATTAAAAAACTGGTAAATTAAGGAACAGAGTTCCCCATTTTGCTTGATTATCTGTGACACTTGTGACTTATTTTACATACCATTTTGCCTTCTCAATAAAGAATTCAATATAGGAAAAATAAGAGACAGATTAGGCTTAAATACTTACGTGTCTGTGTATGTAGGAGCCACTACAAAATCCTTCTGGAATATCTTTGCATCTATTTTGAAAGAATTGCATAAGAAGCTTCCAACTATTTGATCTTTATTGAAGGAATTTGTTCCCAAATGTGTAAAAGTGACTTAGTGTACTTCATTCCTGAAGTGAACGTGTGCTTAATGTATGTAGTGGGTGGTTTGGGGACTTTAGAATAACCAGCTCTTCTCAATTTTTTCCTCTTATCTTTCAGTCTTACATTTCCCCCTTTGAATTCCCTCTTTAGTTACTCGTCCAAACTAAAATACTTTTATTGGCACAGGGATACTGATTGTAAACTTTTGCTTTAGCGCTTCTGGATGGTCAGGGCATTTACTGACTGTCTTACTCTGTGCCAGGTGCTGTACTTGGCTTCTAACTTTTATGATCTGATCTAATATATGTGAAGAGATTGTAGAAGGCTGTTAACTAAAAATGTTAATGTTTTTATGTAGTATGCTCTAATTTCAGGGCTGTTAAGACACAGTTTATATTATACTAAGCATCTTTTCTTGCAACAAGGGAAAAAGTGAATTTGTTTCAAATGTATAGACTTAAAACATAAACCAACATGAAGTAGTCACTTGGCACAAAGCTTCAAAAGTGTATACCATAAGTGATTTACCCACTTGGTGAGACCCCAGTTACATAATGTTATTTGTTAGAAATAATGAAAGATTATTTGCTTTGTTTTTACCTCTCAATAAAACATTGTAATTTTGAGTTAAACTTTTCTGCACTGTTTCGGGAATGTTACAGTACAGTGATTTAAACATAATGTGAGAAACAAAGACTTCATATTAAAGTTTCTTTATTTTCCTAAACCTAGGATGGTAAGCGGATGTTTGGCACCTATTTTCGTGTTGGTTTTTATGGAACCAAGTTCGGGGATTTGGACGAACAGGAATTTGTTTACAAGGAGCCCGCCATAACCAAACTGGCAGAGATCTCTCACAGGCTGGAGGTGAATGCCACGGTGGTTCATAAAACGTCACCTTTAATTCGCAACGATGAACAGACTTTTGTATCCAGATCTAATCTTTTAGTAATCCAGATCCTGCCAAATAAACTACTTTAGATTATAAGGAATTTTGATAAGTACAATATACTGTTTTAAATATTTCAAATCTTTTATGGCAACGATAAAAATAATATTCTTTATTTTTTAAGACTATTTTCACATATTTTAGAAACCCCTATACCCTTCAGAATTATTGTGCTTTATGGAGAAATGTATACAGTGTTGTCCACATTTTGTAGGAAAAAGCATAAAGAATTAAGTAGCAACTAACGATGAAACTAGAACCCCCCAAAACTGCTAACCCAAGAGCTTTATCTCTTTGGCTTAAGTGATTTCCACTGAGACATCTTTAAAACTTGAAAACCTAAAATCACACCTTGAAAACACTTCTTAGGATCCCTTAATTTTTACATATCAAGTTTCTCAATTGTGTTAGGCTAAGCAGTCTTTTCTTCTATAGTTGTCCTTTCTAACCTTTCTCCACTCTCGTCACTCAGAGTGTGGTTCAGGAACCAGAAGAATTGGCACCACTTTGGTGACTGTTTGAAATGCAGAATCTCAGGCCCTACCCCAGACCTCTTAAATCAAAATCTGCATTTTCACAAGACCCCTAGGTGATTTTTATTCACATAAGAGTTTGTAAAACACTGCTCTAGGCTTGCTTTAATTCTCAGCTGACGTTATCGATAATTTCTTGAATATTTTATTCTTATTGGTGACCTTACTGGGCTCTGCTTCCATAGATTGACTTAAACTGT